TTGCCTTCCTTTTGCCAGCAATTTTCAATGGGTCAAATGCTTGGTTCGCAGTTGCGGAAAAGCCCCTTTGACTTGAATAGGCAAGTTTGACAAGCTTTCAACTCAAAATGCCATATTAAATTTGCAGTGGCAAGGACACAAAGCATAATGGCTGTGACATGTGAAAAGCCCCTTCTAGTTGTGTAGTAGGCTTTAGCTGGATGGTCAGGGGGTGGAAAACTATGGCTCAACACCCTGTTTTTACTACCCCTCCCACGGCCGCCTGTGTAAAGGTCTTATTCCATATCAATGACTTGAAGTACTAAAGCAAGAAGTTCACCATGTCAGCCACACAATTAGGCTAGGTATCGTACCTCATTCCTGTGCACATCACAAGTGATATCTGTGCGGTACGATTTGAGCCATACATTTTGTATAGCTCAAATCACACTGCACCAGGGGCGGACTGACCATTTGGAAACTCGGGCACTGCCTGAGGGCCCTGGGTCAGTAGGGGGCCTCATGAGATGCCCCTGGTACCTTTTTCATAGCCTTTTTTAAGTTTGGGCAAAGACACAGGGGCCCCATGATCCCCTATTGCCCGGGGGCCCCATGAGTTTTCAGTCCGCCCCTGCGCCGCACCAAAATGGTTCAGAACCCTTTTTTTTTTCTGCACCTGATTCGCATCACATAGGCATTCACACCCATGCGATATGATTTCTGGCAATTGCACTGCGTTTTTTGATCTGTTTTGGGGTCTCATTATTTTATCATTGGCACCTGCACCAGATCACATGGACACTGTGCGGTTGCAGTGCAGTGCAGGAAGCGCACAGGATTCACTACATTTCTCACATCGTATTAGTGTGAACCAAGTGAATTCTTACTGGAGCAGGCAGCTGCTGGAGCACTCTACTTCTCCAACAGCTGTCCATTCCCTATAATATCAATGTGCAGCGCTAATTAAAATGTGTGTTATAATCATTGATGAACAGTGTGATTGTCGAATAGAAAGGAAACATCATAAAAAAAAAGAAATAAGGAATTGTGAATACTCCAATGAAAATACAAAATGGACGGTATAACAAATAACAAAGTCCTCTAAATATCATAATAGTGCCAAAAATAGTGAGGTGATCAAATCAACAAAATGTAGTGACTTCTGTGACTTGCGCACTGCACCTCCACCATAATGCACTCACCAGAAGTAAGTAGCAAGCAAGCCCAGAGTGGAATGACACTAAGGCCAGCCATACATGGGTATCGACCGATTTTTCGTCCAAAAATCGGACCTAAGAATAATCGGCTGATTTTCGCTCTGTTAGTGGGTCAATGGCACTGGCCGATTTTCGTGGTTCCTCCCCTTTTCGGTGATCGGGAATGTTGGAAAATTCATGAAAAACTACCGATTTTCGACTCAATGATGGTCAAATCACACAATAATTTTTACGAAAAGAATATGTGCATGAGCCGTGACCTGGAAGGAACAGAAGTTTTGCATGTGGGGGTGAACTTTATGATTTAGTTGGCCCATATTCGAAATCAATGATGGCACCATCGGATTACCGAGTGAACAAAGTTTCCGATTTTCGGCCAAAAAATGTTTGGAATTCGAACCAAGTATGGCCTGCATAAGAGGTGTTCCTGCTTGTTCCTCCTGCTGGTGACCCGGTTGAAGGTGGGATCTCTCCAGAAGTCAGTGATACACCAAATAAACAATCAAAAAGTAGAGTAGCCAAGTCTCCATCTCCAGCTCACGGCAGGGGCGGACTGACAACTCATGGGGCCCCGGGCAATAGGGGATCATGGGGCCCCTGTGTCCTTGCCCAAACTCAAAAAAGCCTATGAAAAAGGTACCAGGGGCATCTCATGGGGCTTTTGTTAAAGATAGTTATTAAGAGGTCGTACAATAAATTACCGTATCACCCAGTAAATGGTCTCCATTCAGTAGCCAAAAAAGGCATACAAAAAAAGAGATGGGTTGTGAAAAGAAATTCACAAAGAAAGCGGCTACATTATGAACAGAATGTGATACTCAGAAAAATTTAAAAAAATTATGCTTTATTACACATACAAATTTGACATATGGGCAATCGCCCTGGTTTACCATCACCTCAGTATGAGACAATACACACAGACCTAAAACCATATAAAATGACACCAGTACCGGTCTAAATACCTGTGCAAAAGGGACAATGACTACAAGAGTCTAAAGTCCCTGTGGCACTGGCGCAAAGGTGAACACTTCCCAAAGGAGGTGTATACAAAAAAATTATTCCATAGGTATACCATAACACGTATTGATGAATGTGTAGACTATGCTACTACCAGAATGGTCATATCCCAAACAGGGAGTTTCAAAAAAATTATACCATAGATATAAATGTCACATGTAATGCAATATAGCAAGCACAGTATGCGTCAAAAAGAAGGCATGCCTCTAGGCCTATATGAAACAAAACGTAAATGTCATGTAAATGATGCAGTACATTCCTATGCCGGCACAAGTGGTTGGGGCCCATTCATCTGTGATTATTACCAGCTGTTTCCTAGGGCTCTTGAATAAAAATATGCCCCATTTTTTACCAGGATGGAAGGATAGATGCATAAAGCTGGTCCTGACGAAGCTGAGTGAGATACGCCCATCGGCGAAACGCGTTGACGTCATACGTCAGATACGTCACTTCTGGTCATGCGCATTAGGTGGAACGCACGCTGACCTACAAGGAGGAAGCCATTTTCACATGCCATGAGGCAAGCCTAGGCAGCACAGGCGCCGAGAAGAGGCTGGAGCCCGCGGTATATCGGCGGATGTCAGCGGTGGCTCCCTGGCCTCTTTGGCCTTGTATGGCAGTACTAATGAAGGATATTCTTTCCTCTCCTATTATCCATTACACAGGTGGTGAGTGGACTGTTGCGGGACACTAGATATATGGTCCTATGTGACATATATGACCTATATATCCTATATAGAGTGTAAGCTCTTTCAGTGACTTTCCACATATTGTCTGTTTCACTACAGGATGGGGACATCACGGTGCTTTGTATAGGAAACAAGATATACCACATGTATTTCAACAGGCAGAAGATCTATTGGGATGTGTCTTGTTTTTTTCACAGAAAGTGGTATGTAGTCCACATGTAGTGGTGAAGAAACCATTTCAAGTAGTGCGCTGCTTTATGCATCTATCCTTCCATCCTGGTAAAAAATGGGGCATATTTTTATTCAAGAGCCCTAGGAAACAGCTGGTAATAATCACAGATGAATGGGCCCCAACCACTTGTGCCGGCATAGGAATGTACTGCATCATTTACATGACATTTACGTTTTGTTTCATATAGGCCTAGAGGCATGCCTTCTTTTTGACGCATACTGTGCTTGCTATATTGCATACATGTGACATTTATATCTATGGTATAATTTTTTGAAACTCCCTGTTTGGGATATGACCATTCTGGTAGTAGCATAGTCTACACATTCATCAATACGTGTTATGGTATACCTATGGTATAATTTTTTGTATACACCTCCTTTGGGAAGTGTTCACCTTTGCGCCAGTGCCACAGGGACTTTAGACTCTTGTAGTCATTGTCCCTTTTGCACAGGTATTTAGACCGGTACTGGTGTCATTTTATATGGTTTTAGGTCTGTGTGTATTGTCTCATACTGAGGTGATGGTAAACCAGGGCGATTGCCCATATGTCAAATTTGTATGTGTAATAAAGCATAATTTTTGGAAATTTTTCTGAGTATCACATTCTGTTCATAATGTAGCCGCTTTCTTTGTGAATTTCTTTTCACAACCCCTCTCTTTTTTTTGCATCTCATGGGGCCCCTACTGATCCCGGGCCCTCGGGCAGTGCCCGAGTTTCTAAATGGTCAGTCCGCCCCTGGTTCACGGTGAACCAAGGAAAGGGATTTCTCCTAGAGGGCAAGCTCATAGACCGAGCCTGGCGACAGTATCATATAGTGTAGTATGTTTTATTACAAAAATAGCAACCACATGGAGCATAAAATCATCAATGGATAAAAAACACTTACAAAGATAGCCACCGGACCATCACGTGGACGCCGCGGCGTGACATCGGCATGCAGGCTCCCTCTGACGCATTTTGTGCACACGCACATTCTCAAAGGGATCCACCTAGTGCCAACACCATTAAAGTGTATGCCTTATATAGGCCCGAGGACACGTGACCAGACCAGCGCCATTTTCTAGAAGACGTATGGTCGGACAGGCGCCATTTTGTTGTAGACTAGAAAAAACATAACAGCTGTCCATTCCCGATTCAGCGCATCACACAGCTTCTTTTTCTTTGTAGAAACTTTATTTGAAGTTTACAAAAGTACACTTCATTTGTGGCACTGTACAGCATTTCCATGTGGTTCTGTACACTGCGCTACGATAAAATGCAGCTGCCTACGCTTTATCGCAGCACACTTCAATACAGCTCTACATTGCAGTGTGAATAGGACACATAGAAAACAGCTGTTTTCTGTGTGTCCTTGCAGGGACAGGTGTTTTACAATGCAATTCCATGCCGGTCACAGCACACAGTGTGAATTCACCCTTTGCATCTATAGATGGAGAGATCAGCAGGCGGGAGCAGCTTAGCTTTCCTGCTGACAATTCTCCTTTAATGCCCTATATGTCAGGAATTAATGATTTGTGGTCGCATCCTGGGAAGCAAAAAAAAAAATGCAAAACCACCTTGCAAATATGTAACAAACATGAATTGTCTTGCCAGCATTTAGTATTCAGGGTGGCTCCCTCGCTAAAATATTTAATGTGGATTAGCTCATAAGATAAATACTAATTACTCGGGATTTTTCACATGTTACCATTTTCTCATTCGAAAAGCCACAACAAATCCAACAGATTTAGGATGGTAATATGGGAGGGGAGAAAGCGCTACCAGACCCCAGAGTGGGAATTCTTAGTCCTCATGCACACGGGACGTTTTACAGCGGCTGTTTTTGGCTTTTGACATTTTTTTCTACAGCCAGTAAACCCCCCGGCATGTTATCCTATGTGTCCATCCTCGCCATGTTCTCCTATGTGTCCATCCCCCCATGTTTATCCTATGTGTCCATCCTCGCCATGTTCTCCTATGTGTCCATCCCCATCATGTTATCCTATGTGTCCATCCTCGCCATGTTCTCCTATGTGTCCATCCCCGGCGTGTTATCCTATGTGTCCATCCCTCCGGCATGTTATCCTATGTGTCCATCCCCGGCATGTTATCCTATGTGTCCATCCTTGCCATGTTCTCCTATGTGTCCATCCCCATCATGTTATCCTATGTGTCCATCCTCGCCATGTTCTCCTATGTGTCCATCCCCGGCGTGTTATCCTATGTGTCCATCCCCGGCATGTTATCCTATGTGTCCATCCCCAGCATGTTATCCTATGTGTCCATCCCCAGCATGTTATCCTATGTGTCCATCCCCGGCATGTTATCCTATGTGTCCATCCCCAGCATGTTATCCCTATGTGTCCATCCCCAGCATGTTATCTTATGTGTCCATCCTCGCCATGTTCTCCTATGTGTCCATCCCCATCATGTTATCCTATGTGTCCATCCTCGCCATGTTCTCCTATGTGTCCATCCCGGCCGTGTTATCCTATGTGTCCATCCCCGGCATGTTATCCTATGTGTCCATCCTCGCCATGTTCTCCTATGTGTCCATCCCCAGCGTGTTATCCTATGTGTCCATCCCCAGCATGTTATCCTATGTGTCCATCCCCATCATGTTATCCTATGTGTCCATCTTCGCCATGTTCTCCTATGTGTCCATCCCGGCATGTTATCCTATGTGTTCATCCCCAGCATGTTATCCTATGTGTCCATGCACACATAGACGGTAATCAACGTTTTTTTGCTGGGATGTTTTTTGGCTGGAAAAAACCCCAGGACTAGTGGGTTTCTAGAGGATTTTTTTAGCTGTAAAAATGCTCTAACGCTGAAAAACACGGCAAACGCGGTAAAATGCTGCAAACTGGTGTTTTTGGACTTTTTGGTAAAAAAAAAACGCTAAAAAACGCAAACGTGGACAAATGCAGGAAAACATTGCTAAACGCGGCAAAACGAGGCTAAACACTAATGCAAAAACGCTTAAAAAAAAGCTGAAAAACACCCGTTTTTTCACGTTCCGTGCGCATGAGGACTTACCTACACTTGCTCACTTGAAGATGCTTAGCGCAATGTGTATAAAAACAACCAATAGGAATGCATCTTATGGTCAGTATATACCTATATGCTATAGAATAATGCATTTGATAAAAAAAAAAATCCTGACGGCTGAATTTTTTGTTCCTGGTCCACTGTTATCACCATCAGTCAACCTGCAGCCATAGTTGGAGTGCATGTAGACAGGAAATGACTGCAAAAAGGCTGCAGATAATCAGCAGTATTGAAAAGCAACAAAGACCGAAATAAGCTTTTTATTTAAAAATGCTACTTTTATTAAACACGGTTTTAAAAACAAATATCAATACGTTATTGTTTACATGTATTTTCTGTCTTGTAGCACTGGTGTTCCCGGTTCCCTGGATGGGACACTATCTGCATGGAGTTTGAATGTTCTCCTTGTGCTTGCATGTTTCCTCCAAAACTCCAAAGACATGTTAGTAGGTTAATTGGCACCTGTTTCGCTGGCCTTAGTATGTGTACAGTGGATATAAACAGTCTGCACACCACTGTTAAAATGTCAGGTTTCTGTGATGTCAAAAAATGAGAGAAAGATAAATCATTTCAGAACTTTTTCCACCTTTAATATGAATTATAAACTGTACAACTCAGTTGAAAAACAAACTGAAATCTTTTAAGGGGACAAGTAAACATAAAAACTAAAATAATGTGGTTGCATAAGTGTGCACGCCCAGGGGCGGACTGACCATTCGAGCACTCGGGCACTGCCCGAGGGCCTGGGGTCAGTAGGGAGCCCCATGAAATGCCCCTGGTAGCTTTTATAGGCTTTTTTGGGTGTGCTTTGAGTGTGGGAAAGGACACAATGGCCCCATGATCCCCTATTGCCCGGGGGCCCCATGAGTTGTCAGTCCGCCCCTGTGCACGCCCTTTTATAACTGGGGATGTAGCTGTTCTCAGAATTAAGCAGTCACATTCAAAATCATGTTAAATAGGAGTCAGTACACACATGACATCATTTAAAGTGGCTCTGATTAACCCCACATAAAGTTCAGCTATTCTAGTTGGTCTTTCCTTATATTTTCTTAGTCGCATCCTATAGCAAAAGCCATTGTCTGCAGAGAGCTTCCAAAGCATCAGAGGGATCTCATTGTTAAAAGATATCAGTCAGGAGAAGGGAACAAAAGAATTTGCAAGGCATTAGATATACAATGGAACACAGTGAAGACAGTCATCATCAAGTAGAGAAAATATGGCGCAACAGTGACATTACCACAAACTGGACGTCCCTCCAAAATTGATGAAAAGATGAGAAGAAAACTGGTCTGGTAGGCTGCCAAGAGGCCTACAGAAACATTAAAGGAGCTGCAGAAATATCTGGCAAGTATTGGGTGTGTGGTACATGTGACAACAATCTCTTGTTTTCTTCATATGTCTGGGCTATGGGTTAGAGTGACAAGACAGAAGCCTTTTCTTACAAAGAAAATCATCCAAGCCCGGCTAAATTATGCAAAAACACATCTGAAGTCTCCTAAAAGCATGTAGGAAACTGTGTTGTGGTCTGATGAAACCAAGGTTGAACTTTGTGGCCATAATGCCAAACGATATGTTTGGTGCAAAAACAACACTGCACATCACCAAAAGAACACCATACCCACCGTGAAGCATGGTGGTGGCAGCATCATGCTTTGGGGCTGTTTTTCTTCAGCTGGAACTGGGGCCTTAGTCAAGGTAGAGGGAATTATGAACAGTTCCAAATACCAGTCAATATTGGCACAAAACCTCCCAGCTTCTGCTAGAAAGCTGAACATGAAGAGGAACTTTATCTTTCAGCATGACAACGACCCAAAGCAAACATCCAAATCAACAAAGGAATGGCTTCATCAGAAGAAGATGAAAGTTTTGCAATGACCCAGCCAGAGCCCAGACCTGAATCTGATGGAAACTCTGTGGGGTGATCTGAAGAGGGCTGTACACAGGAGATGCCCTCACAATCTGACAGATTTGGAGTGTTTTGGCAAGGAAGAGTGGGCAAATATTGCCAAGTCAAGATGTGCCATGCTGATAGACTCATCCCCAAAAAGACTGAGTGCTGGAATCAAATGAAAAGGTGCTTCAACAAAGGATTAGTTTAAGGGTGTGCACACTTATGCAACCATATTATTTTAGTTTTTTTTTTATTTTTACTTCCCTCCATCTAAAAGATTTCAGTTTGTTGTTCCACTGAGTTGTACAGTTTATAGGTCACATTAAAGGTGGAAAAAGTTCTGAAATTATTTATCTTTATTTAATTTTTTTACATCACAGAAACCTGACATTTTAACAGGGGTGTGTAGACTTTTTATATCCACTGTATGTACTGTATGTGAGATAAGGACCTTAGATTGTAAGCTCCTTGAGGAACTGATAGGAGTGCACAATATGTACCGTATATTGTATTGTCAACACTATATAAATAAAAAAAAATAAAAAATTTAATAAAATATAAATAACTACAATTAATAATGTAAAGCTGAAGTCTAGGATAAGTAAATATTGCCTAAATACCTTTGTCTTATTCTTCTTTGATCCTTGGTGTGCTTTGGTGAGTTAATCCAGTGTGAGACTTTTCTTTCCTGTAACAAAGACCGCTCACTGCTGCTCTCCCTTCTTGTGCAGGGTGAATGGTCTTGTCTCCGCCCCTTCTGTAGTTTTCTGGAGGCAATCTCTAGTGGGTGGAGTCTGCTGGGTCCCTCCCACAGCTTTTTTCTCTACGCAGACTATGTACAGTGCACTGATGACATCACTGCTACTTTTACAAGGTATTATCTGGGTCGGCAAAGGATTTTGGTGCACACAAAGCAGGTTTATATCCTTTGCGGCTATTGAAAAATATATTTATATTAAAAAAGAAAAGAAAAAATATACATACACTATATATATGTGTGTGTGTGTGTGTATATATATATACACTATATATACAGAATATATATATATATATATATTTTATTATTATATATATATATTATTTTTTTTTATTATATATATATATATATTTTTTTTTTTCATATATATATATATATATATATATATATATACATCACCACAGCAGCACCTGCTTGGTAGCCTGGAGTTTGCATGTTCTCCCTGTGCCTGCGTGGGTTTCTTGCAGGTACTCTGGTTTCCTCCCACACTTCAAAAGACATGCTGGCAGGTTAATTGGATTTTGTCTAAATTCCCCCTAGTATGTGTATGTATGAATGTAAGTTAAGGACCTTAGATTGTATGCCCCTTCAGGGATAGGGACTGATGTGAATGTACAATATATATACATGTAAAGTGCTGCGTAAATTGACAGTGCTATATAAGTATCTGTAATAATATATATATATATATATATATATATATATACTGTATATGTATGTATATATTGTATAAAAAATGTAGCAACCAATGAAAAATGCAAAAAGATGAATGTGCCCTTATTTAACATATTGCATACATTTTTGACTGTCTAGCCCGAAGCTCTTCTTTAATCCTTTAAAACATACAATAAGTCTATAAGAATTCTTTGCTGTCACATAAAAAGGGAGATGTACCCCAGAGGGACATACAATGATACACTACACCTGTAGCAATTCAAGAATGTCAAAATAGAGCTGTCACATAAAGAATTGCTCACCTACGACTTCTTTCCAGTCCAGCACATTATTTAATAACGTCTATGAGCGAAGCCAGACTTTTCTGCTTCCCACGGCCGCTCTGCTACTTTTATCTCACAGAAATCTGAACCAAAACTTCTTGTCTAATCACGCCGGGTTTTTCCTCATCTGGCTGTCAACACTTTCCTTTTTTATCACCATTTGCATGCTTGTTTGACTTGGTTCATTTCTGCCGGCAGTTGCCTATGTAGGTCACAATCTGGTTATCCAGGACATCCAGGGGTTCAGCATTCGGATACATCTCCTAGATTGTAATAGATATTAACCAAATATAAATTAACTGTATTAAGCAATCAGACAGAGAAACAAAAAAAAAAGAGACAGAGTTATAAAACTCCATAGTGATCAGCAGCCGCCTGCCGGCTTGCAGTAAGGGACTGAGTCTGAGAGGAACACTGGAAGGAGTAGCAGCTCAGCTGCTACACTGGCCCCAGACACCCGGCATCTTCCTCTGTCCTTACTTCCTCCCCCTCCTCTTAGCTGAAGGATCATTCATGATGTGGTGGCGTCCCACTCGATCAATCAGTTCCCTTCACCCGACCATTGTCTGCCCCCCTCCTCTTCCTGTCACCTCCATGACCCGCCATCCTCCTTGGCTTGGCTCACCTCTGATGGCTCTTGCCGGGGTGTGGAGTCCAGGCTGTGGCTCTCGGTGAGGCCTCCCAGCACTACACCACTTCCCTCTCATAACCATCGAACCCCGATCATCCTACTTACCTAGGGTTAACCCTGCAATCAGAGCACACCCCCACCTATTGGGTGGCTCCAGCTGTTAAGAAGAAGGTGGAGCCAGCGCTGGACATGCCCAATTCGGTCACTAGCTGGCTCCTTGTTACAGTTGGAGGATTGTGTATGCCAGTGTGTGTATCGGAGGTGTA